CCTAATGTCTTCGCCGCCGCCGCTGCAGCCGATTTGCTCGAAACAGGCGACTATACACGACATGGATATAATAAAAGAGTCGCCGTTGCACTATGTACGCCCTCATTGTGGCGCAGTATAACGGATCGCATATAAGCATCGGTGACTGGCGGTGGTGGCGCCCACTCGACGCTCTGCRCGGATAAAGAAGTTTCTACTTATTATTTTATTTTGCTTAACGGTTTCGGTCCCGACGCCAAACATCGCCGCGAATTAGAAACCCGGCCGGGCCATATATTATTTTATCCGAGCGCTGCAAGTGTTTCTCACACGATTTCCAAACTACAAACTATATATATATATACGATTACAACGCCCGACCGGCGTTTTACGAAATTAACACAAAAAGTTACAGCCAAATGTTACGCGCTAAACGAGACAAATCGTTTACGAATACGACTACGGTGTGTGTGAACGTTTGACAGACGTGTTGCATATACGACGACGGTTATTGATCGATCCGATAGTTTTATTCGAGTGAGTGTTGTTGTGATTTTCGATGATCTATTAYCGGTTTTTATTTTCAGCTTGTTAAAACGTGTTTTACTACTTACCTATTACAACATTTTGACGTTTGAATATTATTCGTCACAGTGTTGTACTATAAACGCACTCTAATAATAATGTACTAAACAAGTTGGTAACGAAAGGTGTAACAATTATTGTCATAATCGACATCGTATACTATTTACGTCGAGTACAGCTAATATATGCTGAGTGTGAGAAATTTTTAGTTGTGATCGAAACAAGCAATACACCGAGTAGGGTTTCTCGCACACCTCGAGATAATGACTGATCGAGACTCCAGACAGTCGAAGAATGACACGAATTGGAAGAAGACTCCATGGACGATCAGCTCAACCCATAGTGGATATTTRCACTCACAACTCACCACGGCCCGGATCGGTAACCCTCATTTACCTAGGTATAGGTAGCCTTTATTAATATTATTTTTTGATTATAATGTTTTCTCTGTTCAGTTGATTGTTGGCTTTGTAAAAGAAAACATTTTTCAAAATTTATATCCCATGAAGTTATGTTTATTTTTTTAAATGAGTATTGAAACTTAATAATTGAAAATAAAAAAAATTATTTATTCAATCATACATAATATGTAGGAAACATACCTAGATGAATCTTAGACTTAATGTAAAGGCTATAGGRTTTCAAAATAAAATTTCAAAATAATCTACCCATTGATCTTGTAAAGCTTATACGATAGTACGCAGCATTGAATTCATACCGGTATATTTTATTCGAACGTGTTTAAAAATAATTTATTCAATTTTAAGTCACCAGTACCATAGAATCGACATGAAAATAATGGTTATKGCTAGAACTAATAATGTTTTACATGATAATAATGTCGTGAATCTTGGAATATTACAATATTATAGTGACACGGGATGTGGGTTAATATAACTCACCCTTTTCTCGTGAGATAATCTGCCACAGCAAATATTTATGCACAATCATTATTATAAAATATAGTAAGACACGGAGCTTAATATATGCACTACCATCAATAAGGAATGCGAAGCATTTATTTACACTGACATTTTATAGTAATGATAAAAGCAATAATAATACAAATAATAACTTAATTATACCGTATGCCCGTAATATATATACGCATGTACTTATTATGATAAAAGGATTGAGACACATAAGAAAATTTTCAAAGTTAACCATAATATGAATAGCATTCAACAGACGAACGAACTTTGTGTAAAGAAATATAAACCGGAACAATATTAGATGTATACAAAGACTTCTGACGACTACTATTACTACTATTCTCACTAACAATTTTTATTATTATTATTAACTTATGGCCAAACACRAGGAAAGATTGCCTTTGTTTTGCTTTCCCGCCGAGCTACCATCTTTTATTTATATAAACATGCATTATACATAGTACCTATGTCCTATACTAAACATTCAAACTTTGTATATACAAAAACAGAGTAAAATAAATAATGAACATCAATATCCCAGTATTAAAACCACCAAATCTTAAGTATGATAAAATAACAGTACACTACACCTTGATCTTTGATGTATGGCCTTGCGTCCGTCTCAGACTAGCATGTTCACCCACTTTTTCTTCTTTATTCCCCAGGATTAGTGTTGAGTACTGTTCCACAGCTTCTCAGTCGCCTTTGCTTTGTAGCACAATTGTTATCATCGTTTCTGAGATAACATTTTATTTAACCGCTGTTTCCAGGTCTACCAGTTTCCTTGCCCACCGACCACATCTAAAAAAAGTGTGTTCTTCAAGATAAGCAGTGGACCACCCCTCCCGGCTTTCTACTCTGCCAAACCTATRGAGGTAAGCCTGGAAACAGTAATGCAGCATCTGGGTCAAGCAGTATCTTGTCACTCCATATACTYGGTCAGCCCGATTATGGATGTTATAGGTAAGAGTCGCTTTATCCACGCCTCTTTTGATATTTCGTCATGCCTTTCTYTCTGACACCAACGGGCAACGACAAACTAATACTATACTTATACATTTCATTATTATTATTATATTATTATTGCCAGACTCGGGGGAGACTGGCACAATTGCTTTGCTTTCCCGTACTACTACTATTACTACGACTAATGCTACTGCTAAGTGCTAATACACTAGTACTACTACTACAACCACAATGCCATAATAGTAAGAGATAGACTGACGTACGAATCGATTATCTGGAGCACTATAAACAGTATTTGTACTACTCACCGCGTTTTGGGAATAATACTAGTCGAGGACAATGCT